AAAAAACACTCAAGTAATTTGTTCAGAAATATCATAATAAAACACTACAAAATCAAAAATAAAAATTTACTTTAAATTTTTATTAATCAGTTAATGGCATTCTCTTGTCAAAATCTAAAGGACTATATAAGACTCTCTTACCAACTAATCAGGTGTCAGAAGGCTGTTCTTAGATCTCTTTGTTCAAAAGTCTTGTGATACTGCACAAGCTTTCCTTTACAACATCTATCATCACACAGAGCTAAAATAACTTTTAGTGTGTCTGTACTCTTGTTTGTATTTATGAAAGTTCATAAACTTGTAGACATTGTAGACGAAAAATACTGCTTGCAGTATCCGTAAACAAAGGATGTTGCAGCCATCTAGCATTCAGCCACTGCACCCAGTCCTGACAGTGTACCCTGAGGGGATTCAGGATGGAAAAAAGTAGGATACGTACAGGCCCTAAATAGTTAAGGTGCATATCAAAGGAACGATTTCAATGAGTCCAAACTCTCGCATCTTCCCATACACAGAAAAGTGTTAAATTCATTACCCTGAGATGTCTGGTTTTCTTTAATTAATTGTAATCTTTTGATGTTCCGACTTCCTGGTTTTTGTTGCAAAACTCCTGTAAGTCCTGGCTCCTCCCTTACCTCTTTGGACCAGTTCCTCAGAGCAATCTGAGAGGCTATCTTCCATGCTTAAGTCCTTGGAAAACCCGCCAAACAAAATGTAATTCTCAACTTCTAGGCTGTGTATTTCTTTTCAGTCGACAAACTAGAAGTTCCTATGTTTTCTGAATATGTAGATGCATAGAAAAAGTTGTTAAAGGTTCCTTCTGAAAGACAGGATTAGGATTGAGGGAAGGAAGGAAGGGAAGAGTGGATGGGTAACGAAAACTTTTACTCTGTATACTTCTGTAATTGAAAAATGTTAACAATGAGACTCTGTACCCTTAAATAATTTAAAACAACTTTTCTTTTAACCTTCCAAACTCCTATGTCACCTAAGAAAATTTAAGAAGGAATTTTAAAGGGTTCAAACTACTGACAGCAAAAAGGAAAAAAAAAATTAACAACTGAACCAAACAAAAAGGAAGAAAAACAATGGAACAAGTGACTCAATGAAATAAAATAAAATAAAACCAAAAAGTCATGGGCTCAACTGATAAAATACAGAATAAGTAAACTAAAGGCAGGAAAGAGAAAGGAAACTAAAAAATGAGATAAACCGGGACTTCCCTTGTAGTCCAGTGGTAAAGAATCCACCTTCCAATGCAGGGGACGTGGGTTTGATCCCTGGTTGGGGAACTAAGATCCCACATGCCGTGGAGAAACTAAGCCCACGTACCACAACTACCATGCCTGCACACCCTGGAGCCTGTGCACCACAACTAGAGAGAAGCCCACGTGCCATAACGAATGCCACAATGAAGACCGGATGCAGCCAAAAAAAAAAAAAAGTAGAAATAAATAAATAATTAATTTTTTTAAAAGCCTTTAAAAAATGAGATAAACCAAAAAAAAGAGAGAGATAAACCATATCCTGTGTTTACTACACATTAAAAACATCATAAATAATAAGTGAAATATATTAAATAAGAGGGTTTTTTTTTTGATGTGGATCATTTTTAAAGTTTTTATTGAATTTGTTATAATACTGCTTCTGTTTTGTTTTGGTTTTTTGGCCACAAGGCATGTGGGATCTTACCTCCCCCGACCAGGGATTGAACCCACACCCCCCTGCATTGGAATGCGAAGTCTTAACCACTGAACCGCCAGGGAAGTCCCAAGAGATTTTTTTAAAATACCTAAACTGACAAAAATTTAGCAACCACTCTCTAAAAAGCCACCTGGTTCTCAAACATACATTCCACTTTACAAAAAATGATCCCACACTGTTTCAAAACAATGAAAGGGACAGAATGATTACAAACACATTTTATAGGACAAACAATGGCTTTGATCCCCCAAACTCAGCCAGCACAATTCTGAACAAACACAGGTTAGTCTCACTAAAAAGATACACAATTCTCAACAAAATCTTGGTTAACATACCATAACAAATTTAAGTACTATTCACTATGACCAAAAGGGGTTTATTCCAAGAATTCAAGAATACAATTCCATGAAAAATTTTATCAAAAAGGAATTTGGAAATGCCTTAATTTGACAAATACAGATGTTAAAGTGACAAAGGATATATATCTAAAAATGAGGCAAAACTATGTTTTCCTTAAAAAAAGGGATAAGAATATTTGCCATCACTGCTACTACTTATAGTAATCCTTCCATCTAAACACACTCTTTTATAAAATCAAACATAGACAAATTTTTTTTTTTGCGGTACGTGGGCCTCTCACTGTTGTGGCCTCTCCCATTGCGGAGCACAGGCTCCGGACGTGCAGGCCCAGCGGCCATGGCTCACGGGCCCAGCCGCTCCACGGCACGCGGGATCCTCCCGGACTGGGGCATGAACCCGTGTCCCCTGCATCGGCAGGCGGACTCTCAACCACTGCGCCACCAGGGAAGCCCCCATAAAGGTATTTTAACCACAAGAATTTCAAACAGAAACCAATCTCAAATTACTTTCACAGCTATGACTTGAAGTACCCTGCCTCCAGAACTGTGAGAAAATGAATTTCTGTTGTTTATGCCACCCAGTCTATGGTATTTTGCTGTGGCAGCATGGGCTAAGACATCCACACACTGATTAAAAAAAGAGAAAAGGGGACCTCTCTGGTGGCAAAGTGGTTAAGAATCTGCCTGCCAGTGCAGGGGACATGGGTTCAATCCCTGGTCCAGGAAGATCCCACATGGCGCAGAGCAGTTACGCCCGTGCGCCACAACTACTGAGCCTGCACTCTAGAGCCCACAACTACTGAAGCCCACGTGCTGCAACTACTGAAGCCCTTGTGCTGCAACTACTGAAGCCTGCACGCCTAGAGCCCGTGCTCCGCAACAAGAGAAGCCACCGCAATGAGAAGCGCCGCTTGCCACAAGGAGAGAAAGCCCACATGCAGCAACGAAGAACCCAATGCAGCCAAAAATAATAAATTTTAAAAATTTTTTAAAAGAGAAAGAGGAAAATCATTTGTTGCCATAGGAGGTGACTATTAAACCAAATCTATACTGATAATAAGCAATTTTCATCCCAGTTAATGATGGAAAGCTCTTCTTTCTAGAAGAATTCTAGCTAGGTAAATATAAAGTTGACAATTAGGAAAATCAATGGATGATGATCCTTATCAGGTGAAAGGATACTAAAGAGTAAGATATTTGCAAAGGACCAAAGCATTAACTTCAGTTTACTTGCGAACTGCAAAATGAATAAAACATAACTTCACAAAGAGATCTTGTGGCTCACACCTTAATCAAGTGACTACAAAATTGACCTGACATCACGAACAGTGAGAAAACCTGATATTACACATATATTAACATTATTCAATATGAAGTACCGACATTACACTTGGAGTCTTGCCAAAAATGTTTAACCTGATAATCCAGTCAAACCTTTATACCTGAACCCCCAGTTTATAAGAAATACAAGTTAAAGCATCACCATGAGGAAATCTCCAGGATTAAAAATGGAGGTGTGTGCCAGAGAACCATCATAAATTTTAAAAGACTAAAAACTACATTCAGGGAATCCCCTGGCTAAGACTCAGCTTTCACTGCCATCACCAGGGTTCAATCCCTGGTCGAGGAACCAAATCCCGCAAGCCAAAAAAAAAAACCCCAAACAAACAAACAAAAAAAACTACATTCATATGCAATGTGTAAACCTTAAGCGGATCCTTCAAAACAAAAATCCAAAAAACTATAAAAGACATTTTTTTAAGTAGCTAGGGAGATATGGGAAAATATGAATATTAGATACTAAGGAATTAACAATTTTCTTACGTAGAATAATGATACTGTGGTTATGTAAAAGAATGCTATTTAGAGGAGACACATGCTCAGCTTTTGGAAGTGAATTATCTTAGCAGCAGCATTAACAATTGTTGAATCTAGGCAGTGATGACATAAGCATACATTTTTTCAACTCTTCCACTTGAAAATTTTCTTAATAAAAAGTTAAACGAATTATTTGTTTTATTTTTTCTGCCACTTACTTGCCCATAGAATGTCTAGTTCATAGAACTTGCTCAAGTTCACTGGATAAACTAGGGCTTGGTCAAATTTTTATCTAAATAAACAATGTTTTTCAAAAATAAAAAAAGTTAAATAAACAGATAAAATGGAACAGTTAATTTTTCTATCTGACTTTAAAAAAAAGGTTGTATTAATGGTGAGAATATGATGAAATGGGCTGCCTCATACAGTGCCAGTGCTAGAGCAATTTACAACCAACTTTCTAGAAAACACCTTGGCCATAAGTACAGATACTATGACCTAGTAATTTTCTTCCAGTAATCTATCTTAGGGAAATAAACTCAGATTAAAAAGTATTATGGGGGCTTCCCTGGTGGCACAGTGGTTGAGAGTCCACCTGCCGATGCAGGGGGCACGGGTTCATT